AAAAATGGCTTTGAAATCCAAAAGTTTGTCTTTTGACAAATTAATCAAAATGAAAGTTATACACTGACAAAAAAAACATCAAAATAAGCAACCATTATCAGAAAAACTTGAGTGAATAAAGCTCCGGGTAATGATCTTAAAAATGTTGTTGTTGTCCTCCTTTCGAGTGAATTCCACAAAATAGACATCAAAGGGAGACAAAGGCAGCGAGCGCAGCCAGCGGTAAATCGCCGATGGAAACAAAGGACAAAGAACAAGGAAGAGGCTCCATCGCCGCCGCCGCCTGACATCTGGCACTTCGAGGAACACCTAAATTATCCATTCACGCATTGCGGTCGCGGCCCGCATGGTAAACGCAAGACTTTCCTTGCTACTTTCCCTGGCAGATGGCGCCGGGGCCTGTCAAGACCCATAGTGAAATTCCTGATCAATGAAGTGGGCAGCGAGGGTAGACAAAGGGAAGGGGGGGGACTCGCTGCCTGGCTGTGTCCGGCTGCGGCGCGCGATACGCGGCCCTACGTCAGCTTTCTGCATTCGTCGGTACGGCTTTAGGAAATGTTATTTGCAACATTAGCGTTTTGATTTCTGATCTCAGGATCAGAACTAATGTGAAACAATATCTATAAATGATTACCTACGCACGTTTGATATTGAAATGAAATGATTAGTGATAGGATGTGTTATCGAGGGCTCACTACGTGTACAGAAAAAAAATCGTAGGGATCAAGCAAATTCATCTGTTGGCACAAAAGTGAATAGTCACGCTCACAGTCCAATAAGAGACATTAACTCAAGAATACTGTCATCGAAGAATTTACACGTAGAAATGCTCCATCAAAATAAGAATGAACACGGATCGCACACTACCGTCCCTTGACTTCGGCTCTGCTTTTCCACTTTTTATATAAGTGCACAAAAACGGCAGTTTCTAAGCATCAGCAAGAGATTTCACCTGTAGTGCCACGTGGCCCCTCTAATGCACTGTCTATTTGCTATTCTTTGCCTTGCCTTCCATCCATCCTAAGTATGAATATCAGAGAAATAGAAATTTAATAAATGCACCATGAATCTGAACAGGAAGACAAGGCCATCTTGTTGCTCGCATATTTGACTTTTCAGAAAATAATGCGAGTGAGTAAATTGAAGCAAAACCAATACTTGACCAGCAGACCAATCGCCACTGTTTAAAACACTTACAAAAAACTCAGCAAAGTGGGCCAAGCAGGCCATGCGCGCTTAGGAAACCATTCGTACTACTTGAACATTACACATAAAAATGTCTAAAAACCTGTCTCACCTCAACTGTAAGACACAAAAATGTGTATACGTTCTTTCATGAAACCTATATTCACAAAAATCATTGCACTTTTAAGCCACGCAATTTCAACACACAATAGAATACGTCCAGAAAAGGTGGCACATGAAACGCCTTTCGAATTCAATACAATATAATTATATCTTTGCAGTCATGGCCTTTGCCTCGCCACTGTGATACACGAATTATATCTTTACGAGACGTAATAGTTACATAGTAGTTGATCTTGCAATAGCCAAACAGATGCTAATAATGGGCACACGCCTATACAACGAGCATGAATTGCAAAAATAAAGAAACGCGTCATCTGTTGCAATCGTGTCCTTTAAGCAGAGTTTGTTGTAGTGTGTTTAAATCCATATAAGGAAATATTTTCGAACTTTCTGTTACATTTATTTGTTATCTTTCATTCATTATTTCTCGTTATATGTTTACTTATCACGGTAATTCTCTCTCAATGCTATTTCGTTGCATTAGAGGCATAATCACGCATGCATGCGCACGCCAGCTGGTTATACAAACAGAAGGCAAAATAACAGAGCAGAAACATGCACCACGTCACATCCATGCAGTCACATCTCGTGGTCGTGCCTGGCGCTAGCACAAAGACGACGGTCTGGCCAGAGAGTCTACAGATATCAAATTAATGAGTTTGCTCAGTAAACACTGCTAAACAACGCTCTAGTTACGTGTTCTTCGAGGTACGTTTCGTGTCGTTTGGAGGATTAACCTTCACACTGCACAGTTAGATGGAAATGTGGACACCAGTGCCACGTTTGTTTCTAGTTGATCATACTGAGGCCCTTCGGCGAGGTGGTCTTCCTGAACATTGTTAACATATAACATATGCCATACTTAGAACAAAATTGACTTTCTTTCTGCAACTCTTCTCTCGTTTTACTATCCAACAAGTGATGCGGTCACTTCTGGCGTGAGGGCGTGACGAAGAAATATACTGTAGTTGAGGACACAAATATAAGAGGTGAATATCGTATATAAGCATACGAGGGAAAGGAACAATAAGAGAAGTAGAGAAAGGAAGCAGAAAGACACGAATGTCTCAATTATAAAAATATAATCTTTTGGTACCGTGGTTCTTAACCATTCTACATACTAGTTTGGTTCTATGTAACAAGCAAAACTTATACTGGTATTTCCTCTATACTTCATATAAACATACTAGCCTAAAAATTAAAAGGCCGCATTGAACAATTTCTAAAGCAGACCTGCCGGGAACTTCTATGACTTCCCGTCCATACTACTCCCTCTCTTCTTCGTCATCTTTCATGCACATTATATAATAAAATAAGAAAGGAAGGGCCGTTTTCTGCACCCGAACTTCTCCTACAAACAGAATGTCAAACTTGCAGTATACTTTCTCCTGTCAGTCATAAAAGATATACATTCACGTTACCATATGAGAGAAAGTGAGGGAAAGAGAAAGATAAAAAGAGGAAGAGAGATAAAGAGATTTATAGATAGGTAGATAGAGACTGATAAATAGATAGATAGATAGATAGAGAGAGAGAGAGAGACGTTCTACAATTCTTTGTGATTTGTTTACATTGTTGAACTGGGTCACGAGCAGCCCCCGCCAAGAGCAGAGAAAAAAAAAGTGGGAAGGGAACTTCGAACAGATGAGACATGCACAGCGGGGTGATCTACTTGTATATCAAACATGGTACGGAAAAATATCTCTCTGACGCACTTTTTTCCAGAACTAGGGATATATTGGCAGTACTTTCGGAATTCGGGACGCCCTATGATTATGAATTTATATCCTGAAAAGTACCATTTATTTCAACCGGTAGAAAAACGGTTCCCCAAAAAAGTTGCTACATTAGAAGCAGAAAATATCGCCAAAGAACAAGAAAACTACCGCCCGTAATATATTCGTGGCGTCCAAAGTCTGATCTTAACCACACATCCCTCTGGAAGGCCTTTTAAATCGAAGTAATAACAATAGCCGTCTATCTAATATGATATCAAATTAATATCAAATAGGCATGCAAATCAGAACCTCACGTCCGCCTTTGTGCGCAAGACAATGGATTAAAAAAATCACACAGTGATATTATTTCTGTTAGTGCTTTGCCCGTGCGCGATATTGCTCAAGGTAAGGGCCGGCGCCGCCAGGTGGCGTGGCGGCGCTCGCTACGCCAGGCAACCGCTAGGCGCACCGAAGGTAAACCTGTATTTGTTGTTGCTCTCTATTTTTCTACATTTAGCTCGCACGAATAATAAGCACGGTCAAGTAAATTTAATGAAACTTTATCGTGTGTAAATAGAAAAGTAAAACTATATGTAGGATGTTCCTTATCCCGTATTTTTTCTACGTATATCAAGTAGGCAGTACATTAGAACGAATGTGATATGTGGTATGCCTTAGGTCTAAGGAACTGGCGGAATCGAATTCTGTCATCGCTCGCCACAGGCCCGCGCACGAGAGGCTTGCAATTCTGAGCAATTTTTCGATGCCT